GCAAGTGCGCAGCCATCGCCGCCAAAATTAGGATTTTACAGTAATCCAAGTGAAAGCTCTCAGTTGGGCGTCTCCTGCGCTCAGCCTTGAATTAGGCCAGAACTACAAAAAAATTCAGCGCTCGCGCTTTCTGACCCCTCCAGACGGTGAAACCTCTGCACGCCCCGCACGCTAGCCGTGTGCGGCGACAGCCGCAGGGACGGTGCGCGCTAGCTGGGCTTGTGTGATGCAATTACACAAGAATGATGTAATTTTTGGCAAAAAAAAAAACTTACAGCAGGCGTTGCGGGGGCTATAAAAGCCTAGCTGTAATGGTGGGAGCTGCAGGAAAGCTTATAGGCGTGGATGGACCAACGTTTGATTTTTTTGCACACGCTTCTGCGTGCAACACCGAGCCCGCACGGTACGAGGCTGCTCATGGCACAGTCAAGAGGGGAGCAGGAGGTAAAAGGTTTGGTCTTTCTCTAAAACCGTGCTGCTTCCTGCTCGTGCTCCGGAAGACGACTAGTCGGGAATAGAAGACGACATGACCAGCAGAACGACTGCACAGAAACGTCGGAACAATCTAGCACAGATGCCAGAGAAGATGCGTTTCATCCATAGACTAGATTCACATTTAGTTACTTTTATACCTTACCTAATTTTTTGTTTGTTTTAAGATGTTGGGCAGTTGTGGTTTATAATAATGAGGAAACGCTGGCTACCCTCATTCTCTTGATAATAGCAATCTTTGAAGTTTTTCACTCACAGTAACCCCCTCCTTACTGCTCTGGGGTTCCATGGCTGCTCATGCGGCCAATTCTCAAACTTCTGCTCTAATATAGGAAATAAAATATTACACAGCTTGGTATGGTAACCTTGCAAGCGTTGCCACTCCCTGATCTCAATTTTGTCCCCCAAGGCAGGATCAGTTGTCCCTAAGCCGCTCAGCTCACCCCATTGTCCCGTTTGTTCTTTGTCTCCAGCAATCCGGAGATTTTTCCCAGTCTCCGCTGTCCTGATTGCCAAGAAGTTTTTCCCACCCGGCAGTGGTAATTGCTCAGCGGAGGCAGCGGGAGAACCAAAGCAGCACACCTCCGGGGCTGCTCCCCGAAGCTGGTAGAGGCATGCCTTTCCCTTCTGCCTTTTGTTTCCTTTAGGGCGGGGTGGGCCACACATCTCCCAGCCCTTAGGACATCTTGCTGCTCTTCCTTCTCGCTTCGCTAGTTTTGTTGGCTCCCTCCTTGTCAGGTCATCTTCACAGTGGATGTCGGGTACTTGCTGCTCCTTAGAAGCTGTTGCTGTTTCCCACAAGGATGTTAAGGCTGTTAGAGGGTGGCTTGCCGCCTCTCGCTGAGGTCTGTGAGGCGGGGGGGGGGTGTCCAGTGCTGGAGCACTGCCAGGACGGCTTACAGAGCAGAACTACAGATTCCTACCCCTAGACAAAAAAAACCCAGGAGTGCTTTTGTGGTTGGACCGTTCCTGGGTTCGCTCTAACAGGCGTCAAGACCACGCTAGGTTTCTCACATGGGCCATCACACATCATCATACATCACCCCCACGCGCCTCTCCGCCCGCAAAGCGGAGGATGTCCCACTGTAAAAGAAATAAAATGCAATGTATTGTGAGGCTGCTTTCTCATCTTTGCGGATTATAGGAAATACGAATTCTTACATTTTTAAAAGCGCGATGTAGCCCCACGGACTAGGCCCCACGTCAGTCACAATCGCAAGAGCCTACCTCACGGCTCCCCCCGGATACCTTCCTTTTTTTTAGCCGCCCGCGCTATAGGGGATGGCCCATAAGCAGGGCGGTCGTGGGTCCGTATGTACTCATCTGACCCTGGGGGCAGGGAAATGACTCCCAAAGCGCAAGCGTAGCCCACACTACCAGCTCCTCAACTGTTCTGGTGCCTTCACTCTCACAGGGAACAATGACCAAAGGTAGCAATGAAGGGGTAACATGCAAGAACCCAAATTTTCAGAGAGAAAGCCACACAAAACAAGCAACCAATTACACCCACCTCCGAATCGAACCAGCCAAAAAAAAAAAAAACCCACCCAACTCCCAAACAGGTATGCCGAATGAGTTGCTACTCAAGCACGGAGCAGACCCTTCCCTTCCACCCCCTTAAGCTCAGCTTCACCACAGAAATATCCTCTCACCACTTAGGAAGTTTCTGCCCTGTATCAGCAGTTCTGTATTCAAATGATGCCGATCATTAGATAAATGAATGAGACAGAACCACTGTCCAACAAGCTAAACCAAAAATTTCCAGAAAAGAGCACCTGTTCTTCAACAAATCAGTAGATTTTTCTTTCAGGGCTTCCAGATCTCTGCTTTAATTTTATCTACTTGACACATATTCCAGAGTACAAGCATAAGGTTCCTGAAAAGCTGCCATTATATCTAAGTGGGCCAATTGTGAAATATTCTCCCCATTTTCCATACAGGCATGACTGATCATTCAGGAATAAGGTCTGCCATTTCTACCCTAAGGTTGTATCATCAAACTGCCCCATTTTGACATGAAATTATGCATGGAGCCGCTATGTGCATTTCAGGAAAGATTTATAGTATCTCAACATACCTCCAGATTTCTATGAGACAATCTCAAAACATCTGATTGTAAACAAATTTATCACGTGTCCAGTAATATTAGTAATTTGAATTTACATCTAATACTCAATCAGGCAATCCAAGTCTATGTCAACAAAGAGGCACAGAACATTGATACTCAAGTGAGGCTCCCATTTGTCTTTCCCCAGTTCTCCTAAAGCCTAGCCAGGTCATGACCGAATCAAAAATAATTTGGGAAAGAAGCGACAGAGATGAGGCAACCAGTAAGGTATTACTTGCTTTCCTTTTTGGACATGGTACCAAAAGGACTCTTCACCCAGCTCCTTTAAAAGGTAATCAGGAAAATATTTTCTCTCTTTTAAGAGACGCAAACCATCAGTATTTCCTACTCTCGTAACTGGAATTTTCCAGAGAAGTACAACTAGCCACAGCAATTTATTTAGACAAAAGGTTTACTCATCACAGCTGTAACACTTTGTATAATAGTTTCAAGGGCTAACTAAGAGACATAATGGAAACCATACAGAACTCTCTACCACAGGCTGTCACAGATACTATTTTTTTTTTCCCCCTGAAACATGGGTGGTAAACTACAGGTGAAATAAGCATCTCTCAAAACCAAAATGAGGCATTCAGGAGAGAAGCTTGTATTTCAAGCAGGAACAACAAGCTAGGTCAGTGAATAGAGTATGACTTCTCTCCCTAGTACAGTTAAGAAACAAATTATTTTAGCGATGCACATGCAAAAGAGTAAAAGGTCTGAGCTAGTAGATTCTTAAATGGTACCATAAGACTTTTGAAATACTTCTATATTTTGAATACAAAATATTGAAATACACCAACAAATCAGTTTCAGGTTTCTTTTCTGTTAGAGATTCATTTTATAAAAAGAACTATTTTAGTTATGGGGCAGCTTTTTCCTCTGCATTTGTCACTGTTCCCCTGTAACTTCTGAAACTGGTCAAGGAGAGGTGGAATTACCATAAATTCCTGCAACCTTTATGAAGCATCAGTGCCTGGAGAGAAAGCCCTGAATCCAGTGAGCAAGAACTCAATGATGATGAACCCTAACCTGTCCTAGCAGTACACACACACTCCAGACTAGTCCAAGCTGCATGTTGACAAGCCCAGCAGATGTCAGAGAAAACACCAGAGCAAACTGAGGCTCCTATGGTACAGGAAAGAGGTATAAAGCACACAAATCCATCCAAAGCTTTGTTTTGCTACTTAGAGGACAGCTTTCATTTTAATTGGCAATGTAAACCTACGTAACATGCATTTTTCTAATCATTTTGTGGGTATCAAAGTTATTTCAGATGACAGTATAATACTGACCTAAAGTGTTAATATATCTTTAATAGCATTGTTTTTAGCAGATAAATCTCAAGATGATTTTTAAATTGTTTGTCAGAGTAGACTACAGTCTATGAGTAAGCTTTCTCTATGACACTTAAAGAATGGGCTCTTACAAGGCTTATCCCACTACATATAACGTTTCAAAGAACAAAACACATTTAAGATCACATTCAAAATGCTCGTTTTTAAAATGTCGTGATATTTTAAAGAGACTAACAATTTATTCAATGTAAATGCAACACAGAGTCGTGGAGTTCCAAATACACATCCAGTCGGCCGTTTCTAGTTTTGTGCAAATTAATTTACTTAAAATAATTTCAAATCTAGCATAGTGTCAAATAACATCCGACCTCCAAAGTTACAGAACTGATGTTTTTCACATCTGCTTGAAATTAGACTTCCCAGTCTTACTAAATTTATTTTTGATTTAAAATAAAGGAAAAAAAACCTGTAAACAATTACTGTAACAGCAGTTAGCAACGAGAATGGGTGACAACTGTCAGTCTTCAAATATAAGTTAAATTATGCCCTTTCTCACCATCAACTTTTAGACAAATACGTAAATAAATACAAGAAGTAACACAAATAAAAGTTACCACTATAAGAAAATACAATATATGCTGCAATTTGGAACAAAACATCATACGACATTGGCTGCATCATTTGGAATATGTATTTGACTGCTTAAAACAGTTTGAAGCTAAACAGTTAAACCTTTTCTTTGTGTAGAGGACTACACTTTTACTCACTGTTACAAATGTGTTTTGCAATTCATTGTATACTAGTATATTAAACTCCTAAATGTGACAATGACTCAAGTCATTTAGTGAAAGAAGATACCATAGGCACCATAATATATTTTTTTTTTCCATTTTAAACAAAATCTGGTGATGAACCAGCAGTAACAGGATGAAAACTAAAAGGCACATTCAGGCAAAAAACAAATCAACACAGTGTGCATGATGCTATATTTAAAAAAAAATATGCTCTGAATAATTGATTGGATCTGGAACAAATATTCTGGCAGATTCTGTCAGACAGAAAGTAAATTTTGTAAAAGGTGTGCAATTCAAATTATATAATTATTTTTTAATGTTGAATTTTGTTTTGTTTTAAGGTCAGTATAAGGCTTATAACCAAGTGCACGTTAAGAGGACTGACTACTCAAAACCTCTTGTTTTCTGAGTGCATAGAAATACAATGAGCAATGAAGATATTCCTTGCAAGAAGATGTATTCTTGGATAGGTGCAAATCTTAATCAAGTACTTGAGCGTCTTTCAGGTCTCGGAACACATTTCATGATCGCGGCTCTCCACAGGGCAGGGGCGAGTAAAAGGCTTAGAGTAGTCACACTCAGAATAAGAAGATAGACCTGAAAATTGCAAATAAAAGCCATTACTTCTCTTAGTTACATGGTAAAGTACGAAGTGACTAGAAGTTTGAGGAGATCAGACTCTTCTGGACAGTGTTTTCAGGAGACTTCACCTGTCTTCCTAACCAACTATGCATATTGCTACAAAAGCAAACAAGCACACGCGCAAATCATCTAATTATCAGTTTACCTGGCTTGAAGATACAATTACAAAAACAACATTATGAGCTTATAGAAAAACAATTATTTACACGCATAGTTAAGAGGTCAATTTTGAAAGCTCAGTGTTTGCTAAAAGGTCAAAGGCCAAATACCACTTTATTAGGGAAAAAAAAAAAAATCAACACACACACCACCAAACAAAATCCACAAAAAACACCAAATAAAAAACCACACCCCAAAACTATTCTGGTTTAATGATATAATGGCAGAGTTCACTGCTATTTTATACACTAAAAAAGGCAAACAAAAATCCCTTTAAATTCATACTGCACATTTTCAGAAAAAAGATCTTAACTACATAGTCTGAATAAGTCTTATAAAACAGCAGCAGGAAGTCTAGTTTTGTGGTCTCAAACAGAAGAATGACTTTTGGAAATTTCAGAGCTATATAAACCTGTGCAGTAGATATCATGTGAGAGCTGCCACAGAAAAAACCTGAAAGCCTAAAGGCCTCCAAGCGCAGTGGGTGGGCCACTAAACTGGTTCTGTGATCACGTATGGATATCTTGAAACTCTATACAAACATACAATATTTATAATTCCTAATTATATGCAGGAGTGAACATGAAAACGAATCACCTTTACCTACAAGTGAACAGCATTGTGTAAGTTTTTCACATGTGCTTTATTTGGAACGGGTTCCAGCATTATACAGCCCACTTGCTCACACAATGAGAAGCTCGCAGCGCCAGCAGAGTATTTTTGTAAGCAGCAATTCAGAGGAGAAAGCAGCTAGCACTAGAAAGTGAGGGCAGTTGTTGTATCTCTATAGCCGTAATTTATTTAATTTCACAAAGCAGACTTCATCTTGGAAAAAATAACGTTCTCACAGCTTCAATATAAAACTAAGTTTAACGTTTCTTTCCTAGGGGATCTTTTTAATGACTACTGAAAAAGCTCGTCGTTTCTTCTGCAGAGGATTTAAAATGAACAAGCTTTGCAGGTAAAGATTACAAGTTTGTTTCCTTGTTTAAGTGTTAAGGCAATTTCCACTTCACCATATCTGCTCTCTAGTTCTTATTTACTGCTATTTCCCTATTCAAATCCTGTACTCTCAGTTACCTCTCTTTCTATAGCTGTATCAAAATTTTAAAAGCAAAGGCCTCTCAGTGACTTAGCTATCTACAACTCACTGCTCGGTTCATAAAGAAGTTGTAAGTGACAGCAGTCAAGGTAAAGCATTTATAACTAAGCTAATTAAAAGTAAAACCTGCTATTTAAAATATTAAAGTACAATATGAAACAAATAAAAAACGGAATGAAGAACCCTGTCAGGGACATATATCTTTCCATTTGTACGGACTGATTCTACTTGTTAACAGTTGAGAGATGCCACATTTCAAATACACTGTATTTCAAATACACTGTAATACAAAATCCTAGTAAGTTATTCAGGTGCAAAAACCAAAGTTAATAACTATAGAACAGCTTACCTCCCGAGATATGATCCCTGCTCTGCGTGCTCTACTTCCCAGAACAAAAGAGAATTCACTGACTTGTGCCAGTCCTGCTGAGACAATCCACTTGATATACTGGCTGGTCTTCGGAAGAATCAGAGAAAGGACAAGCACTGCCAAGACAAACTTTAAAAACGTTTTTTTCTTGGGTTGTTGTGGGTTTGTTTTGTTTTTAAATCAAAGAAGTGCAAGAAATAAAATAGTACGATCTTTGTAGATACATAGCATCAAATACAGTTAATTCTGGACATAAACTACTGGACTTCTAAACATGTCTTTTGTATCCATGTCAAAAGAGACAAATGTACGTTGCACAGTAAAAAGTAGTATCTTGTTTATGGTAATAAAAACACTTGATAACTTTGTCGCAAATACAAAGCTAGATAAATAGATGTTTCTCCATGTGCAACTTACTTTTAACATTAAATACAATCCTTTTTTTTAATACCCTAAGAATGTTGTATCCAACTGTATTCTAATCAGTAGGATGCCTCCAAATACGGATTTACAGTGGAGAGGTAATATTCTCTGTTGTATCAGATGTTCAGCTCTTGCACAGAATTTTCATTAGGGCGTGCACCACAAAGATTATTTAGACTACTAAAAGATAAAGAAGAGAAAAAGAAAATACCTTCATTATGACCACAGACAACGTAAGGAAGAGTAAGACTGTGAGTTCATATATTACAAATGTGGGGAAAACATGAAGTCCTAGGAGGAAAGAAAACAATATTTCAAAGTTTAAGGCCAATATCTTACCATGATAATTTTCCGAGTTAATAACAGATGTAATTGCAAAACTGTATTCTCAAAACCAAACAAACCAAAAGCCCAAACATACCTACCAACGCTACCTGCTCGATCGCTAAAGCACTTCCTGCATTATCCAATGATCTTTCCTTTGGAGGGGTTTAGCACAAACCGTATTCCCAATTGAGTTAAATTGTGTATGACTGATGCACGAGCACTTTCATTTATAAAGTTTTCTCTCTTCCACACCAATCAACAATCCAGAACCTGAACTGAAACACACCTCTAATAAAAGCTATAAAAATACTGCAGGAAAACAATTCCATTGTTCTGCACAGTGACTGTAACATACACTTTGCTAGCTGCTTAACATTTTTGTATGACATGGTAATGGACTATCACTGTGGCAGGAACATGATATTCAGTATTTGCATAGACTATAGCTACAGCAGAAAATACAACTGTTTTGATCCCATGACACTCACTTGCAAACACTGAAAGCCACCTGAACTGGAAAAGTCACTTAGATTGGAATCAGGTAAAGTCATAAACCTCCGAGCATGGTCTAACAATTAAGGAATTATATAGAACTTCATCGCTCTGATGTTGTTGGGGTGTTTGGTTGTGGGTTTTGGGTTGGGTTTTTTTGTGGGGTTTTTTGTTTTGTTTTTGTTTTGGGGGGGGTGTCTGGGGTTTTTTGTGCAACTTTTTGGCCATTTTAATTCAGTAATTACATGAAGCAAGATAACAAGAACCATAAAGAGCACAGAAATTTAAAACTAAATCCTGCTAATATTAAATATAAGAAAAAGAAGTATTTGTTGGAGAAGTCCCAGAGTCACTGAGGAAGAATCTTACTCACAGCTAAGTCAATTATTCCCTCCTAGGGTATAAGGAACTTGTGCAGGCAAACATAACTGTGTATCTTTGGACGCTCATTCCTTTTTCATGAAAGCTCTTGAAAAGAGGAACCAAAATAGTGGTGGTGTTCCTGGTAAATCCATAATAGTTGGCAGCTCTCCAACCCAATTATTTCTGGTGAAGGACAAGAGTTTAGCTTTCTAAAGCATGAGGGATGTAAATCGATGCTGTAACTGCTCATTTTAACACAAGACAAGTTTTCGCTAATTTTCCCTGATCTGTGGCACTGCAGAGCCAGAACAACCGTAGAGAACTAAGAGTCATCTTCTCTTCCTGAGCACATAGAAGTTACAGGAGCTTCACAATGTTTTGTCCGTACGCACATTCCATTGTGGATGGAAATGTACTTCAAGTATATCAGAGATTTTCATACCAGTCCTGCCCAGTCAGCATGTACACACCCTGTTTTATTTCTGAATTTCCTTCCAACTACTGAAATGCAAATGCAAAAGACTATCAGAATAAGGGGAGAGATGGCAGAATAAGAGACGAACATCACACCAAAAAAGAAATCCAAATGTGTGCACACACGTACATGTGGAGGAGGGCAAGTAGCTTCTCTTTTTTCACTGCGTACCATGTGCACATTGCTCGTTCACTTTTTGGCCCGTCTCAGAAACATACATGAAAAGCAGCTAGAGAAATACAGCCGGTTACAATGTCACGTTTGCTAAGAGGGCAAACTCGGCCACATCTGGAACTGAAGATTTCGAAGGGAAGCTATAAATACAGCCGAGTGCTCTCATCACTACTGCTGGAGCTACCTTTTCAGTTCTGGAGCAGACAGGCAGTCTGAAGTCCATTTGAACTGCTGCCTGGCGGGGAGATTATTACCATATTCCAAAGAGCTGAGGCACAAAATACTGCAGATTTCTATACCGATCCCGTGGAGGTAAGCATCTGCAAGGTGAAGCAAGCCTAGACCTGTTACATACACTATTCTGAGCAAACAAATAAACATGACATGTTTGGGAAGAAATAAATCCCACCATAGTGGATTTCATGGTCATTACAGACCTTTGCCCCAGCCCTAGATGAAAACTTAGGATAAGGCCCGAAGTCATATCAGACTGCTATACAAGCACATGAAGCCTTCCTGACAACACAAACGTCATCAGAAAGATTAACTTCATAGACAGAAGGTGCAAGACTATGGGCATTTCTTTTAATGGTTTTAATCAGACTTTCTGACTAAGCCCAAGAGTCACTATGGACTTGGTCTCTAAAATGGAAGAAACGCTTCAATCAAATAATTAAAGAACTTCAGCACCATCATCAGGTAAGCATGTGGCATGTTGGCCTCTCACAAACTTCAGTTCCAAGCAGTGTTCTGGAATAGCTGGAATGGAGGCCTTGGGGTGAAGGTGACCTTGCATCAATGCCAAGCCAAAAAGCACAGTTCACTCCTGTAAGTTGGTATGTGTTTTTCTGTGGATGATTACAGGCAAGATTTTGCACATTCTCTTTATAAGTACTTTTTTCTTAACAAGTAAACTCCCTCTCCCCTTGATGAGACAGATTCCGCCAGTCTGCTGGATGGCCGCTAAACAGCACGTGAAGATCCAAACGTCATGACCACATCCTGGAAGATCCAACATCAAGAAAAGGAATGTTGGAGATCCTTGATTATAGAAACCAGAACTCTGCTGGTCAAACTGGAGCCAGTAGAATGAATTCTGACACGTCCTCAAGACAGGACATCACTCAGAAGAATCACATTAGTGATGCATTGGGGTGCTGTATCTACTAAGAGTCTTAATGAGCCTAAGATCATAGCTAGCAAATTATATAAACGCTACAGCCCTGGCTAGATCATTAAGTAGCAGAGGGGAAAACCAACATTCATCTCCATCTTTCTACAAAGGAAAAAGTCATCTTGATTCTAACGTCAGTTCCGAGAGCTCAAAACCTCCCAGTTTCATTGTGTTCCATGCAAGACAACAAAGCAGTAGAGCTGGATGGATATGGAGAAGACAATGTATGTCACCTAAGGAATTCCAGGTGGGATCTTCCTTTGATTTCTCTCAAATTCAACAGAAATGTTAAGAGGATCATCAGAAACATTGTGCACGTGTCTGTTCTGGACAGCGGTAGTGCTGACAGTGTCAGCATCACCCGTGTTCTGAAGAGAAAGATCGCACTGTTAAAGGGTTTTCAGTGTTTTGCATTCAAGGTCCAACGCTGACCCCAAAGGGAGACATGGAGCCTGGCAAGTGAGTACATCTGTACAGCACATCAAGGACACGCAACTTTGGCAGTCAGTGGAAGCAATCTGCCTCCTCACCAGCGGCCTATAGGGTCCTGATGCCTGATTTCAAACTCCATACGCCTCGTAGACTGACAAAAAATGGGATTTTTGGAGCCTTTTAAAAAAAAAAAAAAAAAAAAAGGTCAGTCTATGCAAAGAGGCCTTCCATCTTTCTAAAAAGCAATCAAAACAAAATCAAATGATGCGGAGGTGGAAAGGGAAGGATCCGAGTACTAGGTACCAAAACAGAAATGAGAAAGAAAGTTCTCAAAATGTGGCTCTAAGGGATTGGTTCAGATATCCTCTCAAAAATAGTAGTGAGGACAGAGATGAACAGGAACTTTCTAACCTCAGCAAATAGCACAAAGAGAGCCAGAAGCCTTGAAGAACACATAAGGCCTAAATGAGCATACAGATGGAGAGTAACTCCAAGTGCAGCTGTTAATGCCTAACTGCAAAGGTGTATTATTCCCACAAATGCACCCATGCGCGAATTTGAAAGCAGGAGCATTACACAGGTCAAGCTAAGGGCAGGACCACTGGTACAGATATTACATGAACAAGTACTATTCAGCTCAGCTATTAGGTAGTGAGAACAGAAAAGCAGGCATTTAAAGGCAAGCAAAATAGGAACTTACTTTTCCAAGTGACATATTTACAGTCACTTTTCAATTAAGTCAAATTTTTCTATTTATGCCTTTATTCAAAAAGGAACAGCAATTATATTACTGCAGTGGTGTACCATCCCACCTCAGGATCTCAAGTGGTTCTGCTCTCTCTGCATATAGCAATAAGCCTTCTCTTTAGGCGGGGCGGGAGAATCCTTCCCTGTGGCCTTTACATAATTTCACATAGTAAATCTCTCTATATTTATAGATACATATAATTTGCATGTGTACATATATAAGTAGAGAGCAAGCAAGAAGGCTTTTCTTACTAGATTTCCTTTTAAAAAGTTTAAGGAATACTTCTTATCCTACGCAGGTTTTCTTTGCAACATCACATCACTCCTTTTTAAAACCTATCTCCTTGCCACCCCACAGAACTTCCCATTAACCACAAAATTGGAAAGTAATTGAAAGTAAAGGCGGAAGGGTGGGATAATGTTTATTTGAGGGTAGGGGTTTGGGGTTTTTGTAGGGTTTTGTTATTTGTTCGGTTGGTGTGTTTTTTTTTTTTTACAAGCAAGCATTGTCGCATTTTGTCGGAGGCCTGTAACATAGCTCATTTTTCTGATTTTTAGCTAACTTTCTTCTGAGGCAGGAATAATACCCATTTTCTGTAAAACCATACAAACTGGTTAGGCAATTTTCTTTTCTTTCCCTTCTTGCAATTATAATGGTAACAACAGTTAAAAATATTTTTTTTTTAATTCTGTAACAGAACTACTAAAATAATTTCCTTACAGTATAACGTAGGCTATATGGAGTGCTGCCAGCACGCCAACTGAGGTCTTGCTATTCTCTTGTACTCTACCAAAGTCTTATCTCTAGTCTTAATTTACGCAGTCACAAGAGTGTAGGACGGTATTTTTGTTCAGTCCCTTGTAAAATTAACTTTGGACTTACAATTATTTGTTATGCTTTGTATCCCCGATAATGCTATCTGCTCCATCACCATCTTTACTGAAGCACATAAACAACTTACTTGTGAGCATTTAGCCATTACTCATTGAACCTTGTCAGCTATATGGGCCCAAGAGTTTTACCATAGCTTGCCACTTTCCTCCTTTTATTAAAAAATAAGGTATTCAAATAAATGTATCTATTACTAAGCAATCTGATTGATCAGCACAAGCTATTATCGTGAGCTGAGTAAAACAAAAAATCAATACTGGCAAGCATAACTATTTCCTTTTCATTTTGACAACCACCAGAAACAGTTTTAGTTTCTGTTATGAAACCATGGGTATCAAACAGGTATATAAGGAAAGGCATTAAAATTATGCTGATGATGGGACTTTACTATTATCTGAATAAATATATGAGGATAAAAAGAAAAATAGAAAACTTAAAATAAAACCAGAAGAAAAACCAAGGGCAGTCTTGGGAAAAAAAACCAAACCCAAACCCTAAGAATTTCTGAGTAAGCATGGGTTGAAGGAGGTTGGATTTGTGCAACGGCCACATTCAAATCCCCTACTACAGACCTTGCAGTGCCCCCAAATTAGGACGTGCATCTCCTATACAATCTGCAGGGAGAGGCAAGTGCTTTCACAGGGCCCTCATTCACTGCACCTAAGCCCTTCGGTAACATCTTTCAGTTTCCTTTAGAGAAAGCCTATTGGGGCATCCATGCACAGCTCGAGAATGTGGCAGTTCAAAATGAAGCTACTGCTTGACTGTAAATATTCTCAGAGTTAACTTGTTTTGGACAACAAGCATGATGAGTTACTCTCCTCATCTTAGGCATCAATGCTGCATTGCAGTTGGCATTGAGGTACTCTCCGAGATACATCTTGTTCGATTATTTTTTCTCTGTGTTGGGAACACAGAGATCACATTTTCCTAGCTAAAGAAACAAGATGCTCTAAAAAAAGATCTGTTTCCATTATCATACCCTGCTTCTAGAGAAAACCAAGCCACAAGAATTTGAAGTCTACTCTACCAATTGACTCAAAATAGTAATACTATTTTAGCATAAACTACAAATACAGCCACTGTGAAGACAGAAGAACATTTAAAAAAAAAACAAAACAAAAACACCCAAACAAAAACCTTTTTCCCTTAAAATTTTTAGTTGCATGTTTTAAATAGCATGAATTCAGAATTAGCAATGAAAAACTGATATTAAAACAAGAATTGAGAGTACAACATGGAAATTGCTTATGAAAATTAATGCTACATCTCAAAATACTAGCAAAGGCAAACCAATATTGTGGGCAGCTAACAGTTTCATATTTTAACAAAATAAAATCTATCTCCTCCCCTCAATTTGTAGACACCATTTTTTTCTCCTCCCCCACATTTGTAGGTTAACACTATTCTTTAAGTAAATTTTCTTAGAAGTTACCTATGGATGCAAAGAAAATGATGGCAAGAAAGTCACGTATTGGTTCAATACAGGACATAATCTCCTCAGTAACCATGTGACCTTGAGAAGAGATCAGAGCTCCAGCTAAGAAGCATCCCAGCTCCATTGAAACATCCAACAGCTCTGTGATCTGTCAAGGAAGAACAGAGAATCTATTGCTGTTCTCTAGCCCCGAGTGACTTTATATACCACTGAAATTATAAAACTGTACATTATACAGAAGGCAGGAAATTACTATGTCTTTATGCCAGTTCAACAGCAAATAGAATTCCATGTATTTATTTCAGTGTATTTATTGTATAAATACAACACTGCAGAACACTGAAAAAGACTCACAAAACCAGTTTCCCCCCCCGTTACCTCCTTCCCCACAAAAACAAAAATAAATTTCCTAATCTACATTGTAATGCTTTGCGTCGCTCTTAAGGATAGCATCTGATTTCACAAAAACAAGAAAGACCATAACAGCTTCAGTCAGGATTACCTAATACAACACCGAGGCTGTGAAATAAAGCAGTAAGAACAGCATTTTTCCCAGCTGTCAAGCAAAGGGAAAAAAATAAAAATCAAAGCTTATAATTTGGCAGAATAGTCTCAATTTAGCAGAAGTCCCAGGCATAAATTACATTTTTAGTATTGTAAATTAGACTTTAATGTGCCCATGTGCTTTACTGAATAGGGATGCATTTAAGCATGTGAAGTAAACTGCTGAAATGAAGCACAATATCTGTTTGAAAGAATTCAGACTCCTTCATTCTTTTTTATTATTTGAATACAGTACTAGAAGGAAGAGATGAAACACATGTAAAGAGACTGAACTAAAAACAAAGCAACTGCCTAAGGCAACGCTCAGAACATTAAAAAAGCAAGCAGCACTTTTCATCTATATAAAGTATGTTTTAAAATAATTACTTTAAAACCATGCTGCTGCAGACAGTCATCTTACTAAGAAAGAGCAATGCTATTAATATTAATAGAACATTTAAAACAGATGACTTATTTCCATACTAATTTAGATTAAGCAACAATACAGCGTAGCACATTTATGGACAACATTCATCATATCTTGAACGGTGTTACACTGTAAGGTAGGAAGCTAAAATTCGAGTGACTTGAAATTAATGGAGGAGAGCAAAAGACACAATAAACAAGTCTCCAAGCTACGCATAAAATGCCACCTAAAAATAAACCCCAACTTTTGTGTATTGAAGTATGAACGTCTGAATGCTCATCACATAACTCCATTTGTGCTAACAGTCCGTAATTTATTGCAAGACATTTAAGAAAATGAATTGGGTCTGTCAACTAATGCAAATAGTTACTGATCATGCAAAACCAACAAAATAACATTATAATGTTACTCTCGTTTTAAAACAAAAGGAATTTCACTGCTTTTCACCACAATTTGAAATTGTAAGAGGGAAGAAGGAAATACATATAAAAGGCTTTAAAATCACTACAAGCTGAATAAGATAAAGGAAAGTTATGAATAGGAAACATTTACGTTCTTCTCAGTCACACATTAGTTGTTTTAACAGTCACAACCTCTTGAGTACGATTAAGATCCAATATAGCCTCTTCAAATAAAGTTGGAATTGTTTTTATCATTCAGCTACAATCCCCTCGCACTTAAGTGTTATCAGCTATCACAGAGCTCCAGATCAAAACTTTTATAGCTAATATTTTAAGGATTCCCATGTACATGGTTAGTTACCACATAAGATGGGATTTAGCATCTCTTGTATCGGAATTGCATGATACTCTGCCATTACGAGAATCGCTATTCAAGCAAGGAGCAAATTTAAGTGTGAAAGGAACATGCTTGTTCAGAAAGCATCAGATACAACTGGAGCAAACTGTGTGTCCACCTGGGTTTTCTCCCACAGCATAAAAACTGAATTCCATTCATTCACTCGATGACAAGCTAAGGATGAGCTCAAGGGCCTGGTAGATAAAGAGGCAAATTTTGCTCTTTCTTCTCTACTCTCTAGGTACTACACAACTTCAGGCCTACAAAATCTGTAGGTCACTCTACATACAGAAAAGTGTGAAGTGGATGAGAGGGCAAGAAAAGAGCCAAAAATTACATTATTTTCTTAATCTTATCCCCCCTCTTCCAGTTTGTTCTTCAGATTTATACATAGATTTATACAGAGACTCCTTTAACTATTCCCAGCCTGCTCTCTGCTTGTCCAATAATAGCACCAGCAAGTGGATACATTTCCTTGACTAAATCTGTATCATCAGGGTTTATTATATATAATGCATAGGCGCAGGCGCGCACACACAGACACACTGGAGAGGGTTTGTCTTACTGGCAGGAAGGCGTTCTCAGCAATATTTCTTACATAAGCAAAACTTGGGAAGTATTTTGCATTTAGTATTCTCTCTCTGCTTGCATCATTTTTAATGTTTTGCCTTTACCAAACAGGGCTCTAACAATAACTAATCCCTGGGCTCTGCACTGTCCTTTTCTCAACGCCTACATTACACAAAGCTTTTTCAGTCAAAATTAAATGAAAAGTTTTGTCAATTTACATGTTTTTCCAAGTACAATTTAGTTTTCAGTTGGTTTCAAAGGTCCCATTTTACTGTAATTCAGAAAGGACTGCTTTGCTTTCACTAGAATATTAGATTTTTATGTTCAAATGTTCTACCACAGCAATAAAGAAAAACATTACTGCTGTAACGTGTTCCAGCTGAATTTCAACCATTTGTTCAGCAGTTGTTTTGCCTATATTCTGTAATAATGTGTATTTTATTGCTACTCTTTAATCATCATAGAAGCTTAATGAGTATGGTAAGCCAGTAAAATTAAAGAAATACGTGATGGAAATAAATGTATTAGAATTTCAGGCTTTAATAACTTAAATCTGCCCAAAAGTAAAGAGGCGAATTCTAAGCTTGCATTCTAAGGAAGTAAGGCCTTAATGGAAACGGAAACAATTTTTAGTGAGCCTTGTAAAAACTCTATCTCAACTGTAATAATTAACTAGAATATTTGAGATTACAGTTCTTCCTTAATCTTCTCTTTTTAATCGATAGAAAAAAGTTCAGAATCAGGTTATGAGCCATTTAGAAGCACTCCAGGGAAATAAGGAATGACATTCCTAATACACTGCAGAAAAAAGTATGTACATTTTCATTTATAAAGTACTGCAATAACATAGCTATATTTTCTTTTCATCTTTTTGGTATATAAAGCAAGCTGGCAATTTCCCTCCGTTTGCTACCATCACCCCAGGTCAACCATACGGCAAACTGGAAGCCGCTTCCTCCCATCATGTGCATGCACAGTCCTATAAACATCTAAATGTAATTGTTATCCTTCTTGTCAGGTCAGGTTTTATTTTTTTTCCAATTTCTTAATAACATTCAGCAACTTAGTTTTAAAACCTAACAAAACTGACCACTGTGGTTCTGCAAGTATCTAATACAGTAATTCATTATCAGGATAGTGTTTAAAACAATTTTCCTTGTAATTTTTCTGTACATACAGAACATAAAAAAGCAGCACTACACCACTGAATACTGGCTGACGTTATAACATGTTCTTCAGCTCATTGTCATATATATCTCGACCTAAATTACCAGTTTGGCCATCAATCCGAAATGGTCATGTTTAAAACCATAACCTAGATTTGCTCTTTATATTGTGATTCAGGAGAACCATTCCCCAGTTCAAAAAAAAAAAAAAAAAAAAAAGGCGCAGTATAGCAGTATCTACATAACTCAAAGCTTCCAAAGGAGTTGCTGAAAGTGTAATAATGATCTAGTGACCCTTTGTCACTGATGACAAGGTACGTGATTGAGAGATGCACAACTGTGTCTGAGAGTCAGCTAGGCTTCTATAGGATTGGCACTTGACACAATCCCCCCCACTCAATCTGCTTAACTAGTTGAGGGACAAAAGGGAGGGGAATTTCAGTTACTTCTAAGAATATCTGGGAACAGAAAGAGGTATCCTAAGCTCCAAATCTTGGTAAAATATCTCATAGTTGAGATTTGTTGCATCTCTTGAAGTTAGTTTATCAAGAAGAGGTGTATTTAAGATCCTGTTTCAGATTTAATGGGTTGCAATGTTATCCAAGTGAGCCAAGCAGTTCAGAAATGCTCAAAAGTCACTTCCATACAGGAAGTTCCTCAACTGACAGGATAATCCTTACACCAAAACTGCTTACTCACACTGCTGTATAGGAACATCTTCTGTCCTGTCCTCCCTCTTGTTTTCCCATATAGAACTTGCCCTTATTATTAGAGAAACAGCAATTTGTGTTTAATTAGTCATCTCAGATTTTCAAACACAGGAAACAAGTAAAATAAATTAAGTTTATATATAACGTACATTACATGTGCCAGTGTGACAGATGAACCCCAATACAGGATAAACTTAGGTGGACCCCAGAAATCCAATCAACACTGAAGCACGTAACAAGTAACTGTATGCATGAAGCCGGAATACCGTATCATTCCTACCCCCTTTGTCATGTATTAGAAAGGATCTGGCCTGCAGAATAACTCACATGCTAGATAGACAGTTAGAAGATTTTAAAAAGGTCTCTCAAGTTTTCATAACGGAGCCACAGAGTCATCTTTGGTTAAGGCCACTGAAATATGCACTCTCTTATTCCTCCCTCTGTAAAAAAGCTTGAATTTGTAATTACACCAGTAAGGAAAATTCTGTGTTTGCAGATAATTACACAAACTCCGTCAATATTTAGGCTTGGTTTTCCAAGGAGAAAGATCTTTGCAGAAACCATGACAGTTTAATTGTTTGCCTACCTGGCACCCAAAAAACTTTATTCTTTCCAAAATGCAACATTTTTTCAGATTGCCATCCCCCATCTTATGTTTTTAATTCCTGACATAGTAGGGCATCTATACCAATTAAGATTTGTTTGTTGAGCTGTTCAGCTGGACAACCAAATACTTTTTTGTTTTGGTTGGGGTTTTTTCCTTTTTTTTTTTTTTTTTTTTTTTTTAAGTCTGTGCTCAAACCACAACTTGAAGTATTACTATAATGAATGTATCGGTGTCAGTGGATATCAAGCATCTCAAATGGTTTACTGAGGTTACATGCAGTATCCTTTGTACTGTTCCCTTTGATACATTATTTATCAACTTTAAAAGGAAAGTTGTTTTCACTTAAAGTATACAAAATATTTGCTCCTTCACAAACGCTTCCCATTCTCTTCTTGCAGTATGAATTTGACACACTCAAACATATTCTCCCTCAGGTTTGTATACACACATATCATATGTAAAGTCATGTAGACAAACTCCTTGGACATTTGACACATGACTTGGGCACAATACGTCCAATTCAATCAAATCAGTCTATGTAGGCTGTATTTTAATGAAAGTAAGACTGCTTCCAGATACCGTAATATTTTATGCAACTTTTGTGGTTTGGTTGGTTTTTTATTGAAGTTGTTCTACAAATGTTACGTCTGTTTGTTCGAAATGAAAAAGGAGAAACTAGTTTTGTTCCTTCTCTTATTAGATGACACGTTTGGAATAGTAATAGCTGTTTAGAGGGATGGCATTTTTAGCCTATACAATAGAAACAAATTGTAATGCTATTGCTCTCACTAACTTCTTTCTTGACCTTCCTCCTGAAGGAGGTCAGCTTTCTTTGTTGGACCTGTAATAATTAAGCAAATATCCCCACCAAAAAAGCACATGCACAGGAACTTTTTGGGATAATTTTTCTCAGAAATTCTCAGAGGACATAACAATCTGCACATCTAGGATAACGAAGTTTCAAACCCACAACATTATCAGCAACTGTCACGTTCTGTTCTCCAGCAGAATAGTTTTTCAGACAGCTGAAACGTGAGATAGAAACAAATAGAAGGAAGATTCAGAGGAAGATGAACCAAACTCAAAAGGGATATCAAAATCTATGAACCTTAAGGCATTTCCCTACTTTCTCAACTTCACCCCAAACTGTTTATCTCCCACAGAAAAATAAAATTATTTTATAATTAAAAACCATGTTGAGAATTTGCTATTGAAAAGAAACTTGTGAGCAAATGTCACAATCAGCCATTATCAGTATCTCAAAATCCATCCTAAATTACTTCCAAACGCATGAAGTAGCCCAAAATTAAAACTGGAATCATGATTCTTTAACTGGTTGTATTACAAGTTACCAGCAGAGTTCAGCTGTTTGACATTCAAATGTTATCTCTTCTTACTCATCTATGCTATAATGCATGAATCACCTGTGCATTTGGGGTTTGTTTTAAAACATTTAAAAACTAAATAATTAACTACAGAGGTACATGGATATGCAATAACAGTAAGCATGAAGGCTTTTGTGATACTGATCCAGTAAACTACCACATAGATCAAAATGTTTTATTAATTTAAAAGATTACCGTTAACATAAGGAAGATGAATGCAGTTATTCCCAGAATGAGGATTTCCTTATTCCCTTTGCTTTCTGCATGCAACTTGCGATAATACGGTCCTATGAGATAAGTCTTTATAACAAGACATATAAGAAAAACAGCAGCCAGAGAAAAGAGAATTTGGCCAATCAGTATCAGTATTCTCAGTATTTCCTTGAAAATGCTGGAAGAGAAGAACAAACAAAACATTTCTTTCAAGTTCTGTCATGCCTCCCAACCAGTTCCCCTTAAGTGAAAAGATCTAATTCCACAGATGTTCAAAACTGAGTAGCTACAGATATTTAGATACCTTAGCAAACAAGATGAACAGCAAATCTGCTGAGTGCCCACCCAGCAATCTCTTTTACAGCCTAGAATTTACTTCCATGTTGATTCAAAAGGATTTTTGTTGATTGATCTTCCAGGTAAGCCATCAGGCTCAATAATACTATTGCATCGTCTTTGACAAAAATACATCTTGAGGGAATAAAGTAACTGAAGAAATTAACTTACTTTTTACAATAACAAACTTATCACTACAAATTTTAAGTACTGGACAGGACTAAGGCAGCTAGAGCAGAAAGAATATCCTCACAGAACATGACAAGTACAAACAGAAGAGGGAACTCTCAGAACAGAGTGCATATTTTTCATGGAACTGATATTAACTCTAGCGCTTTCATAGTCAAGTTAGCGATCTACATACTAATTGGAAAGGGGTGGAGGGAAGATACATACAATAATTTTTTTTACCTGGAATATGTGCTCACTCCTGCTTGAATAAGTGTAGGCATGACAGCTATAAATAAACCAAGCTGCACATCCTGCATCACCAACATGCCAAGTAGTACGCTGCTGTAGTCAATATCCCCTGTACACCAGCAAAGCAGTCATGGAAACGCTCATCAGCATCTACGAATGCTTGCAGTGCTCAGAAAACTATCAAATGGAGGCTAAGTATAGTTCTCAATGGGGTGAGGTCATTCAAAACATTCTGGCTTATTTTTTCCCTACTAGTAAATAAATTAAAATATATGCAAATAAAGACATATAAATATTTTACTTATATTTTTAATATGAAGCTTCCGTTACACAATAAAAGTATAGACTTTGCTTAGCAGTTAAGCTGTAGTTATGCATTTACTGAAATTCCTTTACTGAAAATATACAGTCTGGAGAATAGCAGACACATTTAAGAGCTAGTATGTGTAAAATAATACACTTTGAATTTAGGTATTAGCATACAAATATTCTTGGGGTGGGGAGAGCTTTAATGCAGTATGTGTGAGGGAGGTTTAAGTGGAAGAAAGCAGGAGGGCAAAAGTTGTGAAAGGAAACATTTAGAAGTCTTTGAGAAGCTAGCAACGTGGCACTTGAAGGTACTGACTTGAAGAGCTGTTAGCTGTGAAAGACTCCCTCAGCTGGTCTTAGTTTGCTGAAGAAGGATGTGAATTATTTAAGTTAGTCTTTCTGCCCTGATGACAGACTGGTAGCAATGGTCTAACTTGGTAACCTCTTAAAAAGCACAAGGATTCCAGATGCTCAGTAAAGTCAATTCTTAGCACGGAGAGTACCAATTGGGCCACACTGTCTTTCTCCAAAGAGGACTGGCTGTGTAAATAGCAGGTACGCCTCATAACAAGAACATATGCAACACTGGCCTGTATTAAAGCAGGATGATCACCTGTAAACCAGACTTAACAGTGGTTTTTGGTTTGTTTTTTTAACTAGTTTCACTTGTAATATTACAAAGTTAGCTTCTTTCAAATTTTATTGTAGATACTACACAGTAGTCCATATTTAAAATCATACTTACCTTCTTTATCACCTCGAACACTACCTGCAAGAAATCTTGACACCAATGGCGTGCTTGATAAAGATAAACAAGTGGAAATGAAGACACTTTGTGTTGGTCTAATTTGGAGCAAGTGTCCCCATAGTAAACCAAAGGCAATCATCAGAACTGTCATGTAGCAGGGCCCTTGCAAAGATATTTTCCATACCTTGGGAAGAAAACAAGTTCTTATGATAAAGTCTGATGACAATTTTCTCACCGATAAGTTAAAATGATTTTCAGCACAAATAAGCAGTTAAAGATGTATGATTTGGGGCTGCAGTGCTGGGCCAGAGAAGTAACGGTCTGGCATCCTGTACATCCTAAAACTCTGAAATTATTATGCCTAGTAGATATTCTATGCCAGAAGGCTCATTACCAGAAATTAGGTAAGTTTCCCAGTGCACACAGACAAACTAAGGTCCAATGGTCCAGTACGAGTTGAAATATATTGAAATCATCAAGTACAAGACCAGCTATTTGATGAAATTCCAGGGTGGGAAAAAAAATGGGAGTGGCAAAGACCATCAGCAATACCAGCAGCCCAATCCACACCAGTGTGCACACAATTCTGACGTAGCAGTTTACATACTACAGTTTAGGAACCCTTGAATTACTGATTTTTATCTTTGACTTCAGATGGACTAGAAATAGCAGATTAAGCTGAATGCTCATAAATTTTAACATATTTCAGTTAAAGCTTGTACAGTTTCATGAACTCACAACTATCAGTTTAGAAACAAATCACACAATGTAACTCCTTATATACACACAGTCTTCATGTATTTTGCAGCAGTATTTTCCACTATTAAAATTCTAGCTGGTTTATGAGATAACCTTTTTTTTTTTTTAAATTATGACCAAAAGAAACTTGTACCTTTATGCTGAATCCTGATGGCCACATCATCTAATATTCCAGATTGTGCTAACATACTTGCAGAATCAGTTTATTAGCCAGTACAGCATGTATCATCAATTCAGTATGCAGTACTTAACAAACTGAGGGGTTTTTTATAACAGGACTGGCAAACATCACTGGACACTCCATAACAGCAACTGCATGTTACTGTATGGTAAAGTAAAGCAGAGATGGATTGCCATAAATTGTGTGAGATTTTTCTAGTAAGCAAATTTTTATAAAATGAAGAGGAATGGCAAAGGTTTTTTTTGGAGACACCAAATAAATAACGCATTCTGTTCTTTCCAAAGAGTTAAAGAGCAGAATCAAATGTCATACTTGTCTTTTCAAAAATGCACAAAGTTACACTGGTATATTACCGGGAGAATGTAAAAATCTGAAATATAAATGGTAACTTGAACATTTACAATTAAATCTTGTAATGTAGAGGTATTATACAAAAATACCTTTCTTAATCTTTCAGGAGAAAATTCCAGACCAACTAGAAAGAGAGTGAAGAATACACCAAACTCTCCTAATGTCTCCACCTGTACAATAGACTTTAAAAAAAAAAAATAAAAAAAAAATCAGTGCACAGCAGTCTATTTACAACACAAATTGTAAGTCTTACAAAACAAGTTGTTTCTCATTGTTTCCATAGGTAGCTCACTTGCTGGTCATATGACATCAGAAGTTCCCTCAGCATCTTTAGGGTTCAAACATTTTTCCCATGACCTAGCCGCTACTATATAATTTAGTTGGATAGTGCTGGTCACCCAAAATGCATGTGCGTTGATCCAGGTAAACTTGCTTGCTTGTTGAAAATAAATTAGGTTATGTTTTATGCACATGCTATTAAACACCCAAGGCTTGCATTCCAGAAGTTTCTTCTGGCTAGTTATTTTATTGGTCTATTGGTATAATCATTCTGCTAGACTGTAGCTGCTATTCTGCCCTCCACCCTATAGACTCCATGCATCCATCCCTTACACCAGTACAACTACCAGCCTTTCCACTTCAGAGAGAAGGGTACAACAGCAAGAAAAGTGGTTGTCTTCCTTGTCACAAAAGAAAAATGGGGCTACATCTGGCTGGCAACCAGTCACCAGTGGCATTCCTCAGGCTTCAATTCTAGGGCCAGTCCTGTTCAACATATTTATCAATCATCTGGCAGCAGGAGTTGAATGCACCATTAGCAAGTTTGTTGATGGTACCAAACTGGAAGGTGCTGTTGACTCTCTGGAGGGATAAGGCCTTGTAGAGGGATCTGGATAGATTAGAGCATTGGGCAATGATTATTGGGAAGAAATTTAGTAAGTCGAAATGTTGGATTCCGCACCTAGGATGGAGTAATGCCGGGCACCAGTATAAATTGGGAGAGGAGTGGTTGGAGAGCAGCCCTGCAGAAAGGGATCGGGGGGTGCTGGTGGGAAGCAGCTCAAGGGGAGCCAGCAGTGAGCCCTGGCAGCCCAGAGAGCAAACCCCATCCCGGGGTGCATCAAACCCAGCATCACCAGCCGGGCAAGAGAGGGGATCGTCCGCTGTGTTCAGCCTTGGTGCGGCCTCGCCTGCAGTGCTGTGTGCGGTGCTGGGCCCCACCATTTCAGAAGGAGGTGAAGGTCCTCGAATGCATCCCGAGGAGGGCAACAGGGCTGGTGGAAGGGCTGGCAGGCCTGGCCTGTGAGGAGCGGCTGAGGGCTCCGGGCTTGTCTGGGTTGGAGGGGAACCTCGCTGCTCTCTGCACCTTCCTGAGGAGGGGACGTGGGGAGGGAGGTGCTGAGCTCTTCTCCCCGGTACCCAGTGGTAGGAGGTGCGGGAATGGCTCAAGGCTGTGCCAGGGGAGCTTCAGACTGGACAGGAGGAAGCATTTCTTTAGCGAGAGGGCGGTCAAACCCTGGAACAGGCTTCCTAGAGAGGTGGTCGATGTCCCCGGGCTGTCCGTGTTTCAGAGGCGTTTGGACAATGCCCTTAACAAAATGCTTTAACTTGGTCAGCCCTGAAGTGCTCAAGCAGTTGGACTAGATCATCGTGGTAGGTCCCTTCCAACTGAAATAGTCTATTCTATTCTAAAAACCTAACATTTATTTTCTATGTATTTACAGTCCAGAGCAGAAGAGGACAGGGTTCATCATCAATCATAGAGAAGTGGAGATGGAAACTATCTTCCCTGCCAGATTAGAATCTGCCTGCCTCCTCAGTTCCTCTGACATTCAACTTTTTTATGAAATACAGGAAACAAAAGGAGAGAGCACACACAAGAGACCAAATCAACATGAACATTATCCAGATGAATAATGTTTAATCACAGTTCCATAAGAAACAGGCAGCTTGCTAAGAAACTGTCCTAAAGAAACCCCTCTCATGTCTGTTCTGACCACATCATCTTCCCCAGTGTAAGTCTCTGAAAATTCATTGTTGATTCTCTTTCTAATGCCAAGCTTACAAACTTGTTCCTCAGTCTAAGCAGTCAAGCTTTCCAGACCTTCTCAACCCAGAAGTTATGTATGACACAAAGGTTATTATTTAATGTCAATTTTAGAATACAAAACTTTGAAAGTGTAGTATTTGTAGTGTTCTATTCCAATACGAGATTGACAAAGTCCTACAATTTCTACTCATCCCTACTTACTTTTGAGCCCAACTGTCATTTCCAACAAAAGTCTACACAAGAGCAGATGTTGCAAAGACAGTAAGTTCCAAGCAGTTAGGCGGCTATCAATGTAATAGACACACGTAACTTAACCGAACGTTACCATGCAACCTTAACGTGTGTTCTGTTTTGCCTGCTGGCTAAACAATCTGTTAATGCACACCAGACCATGAATCAAAACATGTGCAGTGTCTAGCCAACCACAGCCCATGGTTTTGCACGAGCTAGTAATCAGGGTACACGTGAGGGAGCTAAAAAGGTTCAAGAGACTTCAGGAATGTGGGCAGGGGACTGGAAAAGAACTAGGGTGCCTAGCATGGATGAAAGAGCTACAGAGATGCAAAATAACTCTCTAGGAAGCCAAGCTATGCTGCTCAGGGAACTACTTGTTTTAAATACTTCCCTCCCTGCCAACACTGACTTTTTGCAAGTTTCTGAAAATCTGATGTCATTTAAATAATTTGGCTCTCAAACGTGATCCTTTATGATTAAAAAGAGAAGGAAAAAAAAACCCACAACATAACAACCTTCAGCTTTCACTTTCAGCAATACTTATGTCATGGTTCTATAGGAGAAAAAAAAATTGAAAACAAAGTGATTCAAAGACATAAAATCTTACAGCCTCCTTTTGCAAAGGTCCAGGTTTGGGGATTCTTAATTTTTTTAAAAAATACATTTGAGGTTGGCAATACCGTATTATTTTAAAACTACTTTTGAAGATTTCAACAAATGAAATCAGTCAAGAAGCAACTTGCACACTTACCTTGATACTATTTAGTCCTGATGGTCCTAAGAGTACTCCACAGATGATATACCCAAACATGGTTGGCAATCCTATTGTTGTGCACAGCCAGCCACACGGCAAAGACAACATTCCTATTGTCACAATATCCTAAATATGTAAGATGTACAAATGTGTTAATATAAAGGACACACAAATTTGTGATGAAATTAAAGACTATTATCTTTCAAAAGATACATAACATGGTAAAATTAAACAGAGAATACTGTCTACTGAAAGAAAACACTATTTCAGTAAATTAAACTGAACACTTTGTTGTAGGTGTAAGCACTGCAGTTTTGCAGATGAAGCAGATGAGGTACTGACCTTAAGTAATTGGCAGCTTCAGGACTTTTGATCAAATATTTTAAATACATTATAGGAAGTAGACAGTTTCCTGGGGAATTGGGAGGGGGAATGACACTTTGCATTAAAACAAAATGGTAAAACAGATCCATTTTGATTTGGTTTTTTGGTGGGTTTTTTTTTTGCTTGTTTTGTTTTGTTTTTTTTTATTTAAAAAAATAATCATCCCAATCCAGTTATTCTTCATGAAGCACAAACACAATAAAAAAACATGCCTATGTACTTTCCAGCATCCCTTTATTCATCACAAGACATGGACAGATAAATCCTCTCTAGTGACAATGTGCAAGTGGCTTATCAGGCACAGCAGTAGCTTGCTTTAACACTGTGCCCTCTGAGAGAAAGGATGGTGCCCCAAAGGTGCAACAAGTTAAATAAAACAAAACCAGAGGGGATTCATAAGGCATCACGATCAGTCTTGTGAAGAATAAACTAGGAGCAGGGAACACATTGGCCAGGTCACCAGTGGATGGGGGAATCATGAATGCTGGAGTGGCTTTAGAGGGACAAATGCTGAAACCAAGCAGTACTGGCGTGCAACCTAGTAGGACTAAATTTGACTAAAAACGAACGACAAGAATATCTCTAAAATGGTTACCTTTATGAAATGATGATCAGCACGAGGAATGGTTGAATCTCTGGGCTTGGTAAGGATATACTGATTGTTCTGGGAATCAATAAGCATACTAAGACCTAAGTCATCCTCTACTTCTCTTTTTGAAGCATTTCTTTTGGAGTTGGCTTCATCTTCTTCCACCCTTAAAACCGCTTCAAAGTTGACACCTCTTACCTTTAAGGAAAAGAAAGCAAATAAAAAAAAAAAGAGGGGGGGGCGCAGTCAATGAAGCATACAGTAAAAAGGGAAAGACTATTAGCTGTGCTTGAAGTTGCACCAGAATTTGTTGACACTGCAGTTTCTTCTTAGAGAATTCTTTCAATCTCTTTATCAAAACTTGATGTCCATAACTGAAAAGGCTATAATTTGCTTTACATTTTAAAACCAGGGAGTTTTCCAGGCCTCTTTTAGCCAAGTTGTCCAACCAAAAAATAGAGAGACAAGGTTTTAAAATTCCAGTTCAGTATTTTCAATTGCATCTAATCTGAAATATTTCTTTTTTCTGAAAAGCTTTATCACATTTAGAATGCAAAAGGTTGGATTGAAATGTAACACTTTATTCCCTTGAACAAAAACAATTAGAGATTACAAAGTGATATTCAGTTCACAAAAATCTGAAATAATGACTGCATTCCAAGCCAATAAAAAAAAAAAAAAAAATCACTGTCCTGTAAATTTGAAGGAGAGAGGATACTGTTTACTATTTAGCTCTGTCTTCAGTGCCTGTAATTACAAAGTAGAAGACACTAGGATGATTTCATTATTCACTGTATTGTAAATAATGTAGATTTTACCAATATTCAGAAATAGTTCAGGTTGTTACTTCTTTTAGACACCAGTAAAGAGAGTAGCCTGTTGTCATTCCAATGACTGACTACAAAACATTCAGCTTTTCTGGATTGCTGTATTTTGCCCAAGCAACTCACCAGTTTAATGAAGAAATGCATTCACATAAGCCATCTATAAAACAGCCTCCTGTTTTTCTTTGCTGATTCCCCAGCACATTTCCCCAGACTGTTCAGATAAATATTGCATTTTCAATATTTAATATTTAACCTGCAATTTTTATCCTCTTCTTCCACTCCTTACATTTGTGTGTGTGTATAGTTAAATAAAAAATTCTGTCGTGGGAATGATCTCTTCCCCTGGTTTTGTACATCATGCAATACGATGGGCCTCTAAAGAATTGGAAGTCACTAAGAATCAGACAGAGGGGAAAAAAAGGAATTTGAAACAAATTATGAAGTTTGGAGAATTATTTAGGAGCATAAAAAGCTGCTTCGAACATGAGCATTTTTAGCTGTTGGAGTGAGAGGCTGATGATCATTTTCTTTTTACGCACTATGAAAGTTGTCTTTTCATCCTTTTTTTCCCCAAAATCTGTCTTTTTATATATATATTTGCCTTTACTTCCTTAAGCTCCCCACTTACCAGGCTATTTTGCATTCCAGAATGAGGTGTCCATTGCCAAGTCTAAGAGACCAAACCATGTTTTCACATTTTCAGCTGATGGGAGAAAGCAGGAGCAGCTGCATGCCACATACATGCAAACTATTCTCACAGTATTGGAACAAAGAAGAAAGGCTTCCCGACAGTCAGCAAACATGAAGAACTGCCTCCAATCGGAATACACAATAAGTGCCCAATCCTACTGTTTTTCTGTTATCTCTCCTCCTGACCCTCTCTCTCACACCCTCGTTGCTACTCCAGGGATACTAAAACAGACCTTAGAGCTTACTGTTAAATGTTGGCTCTACAATATAAAATATACTTTACACTGGTTTTCACAATGGAATTCTTTCACTGTTCAGTGCAGCGTCCCCATCTTGCAGATCACTACTACTTTGCCTAAAAACCAAAATGCTAACAAGCCAACAACTGTTCTAGTATCTTCTTGGGAATTTGTTATGACATCAGCGACAGTGTTCACTAAGCAAAATTATCTTATAAAATACATCAGCTGTGAAGCATCTACTTTTGATGCTCTGGAACTCCAAATTCATACAGAGTTTGTTATATGCTCCTTTGTACTTGGTAGCTTGTGTGTCTGGAATCTAACCAAACCTCTCTGCATCAAAACTAAAAAGGTATCAAAGATCATACAAAAGCAATGCAATTGGGTAAATACAGTCCTCATCTAATGGAGTTCACAGTCCAGGTCAGAAACAATACTAGGAAAAAAGGGAATATGTTTATAAAATTAAGGCAATTATGAAAAACAATCTGTTTTTTTCATGTAATATATATAAAAATCATACATTGTGTGAATATCATAGTGCATTTTTATTTTTACAAAGAAAAGGGAACTGACAAAAGACAGACTATGCTAGAAGACCAAGAGTAGATGGCACAGGTTCAGATGAGCTTTTAAATACTAATAAATGTGAGGACATAGTGAGAGAAAACAGTTATTTTCAGGATTTTATTTCCTAAAACAGCAATTCCTGAAAGCAGGTTGTACATAACAGAATAGAGTGCGCAAACACTCTTGTGGGTTAGCTCAGATTTTTTAATTTTTACTACACTTCTCTATTTGATTATACTTTAATAGAAGCTTTTGTATCTTTATCAGATTACTGATGATTCTATTAGAGCTTCTTTGTTCTAATGTTCCAGTGTCCCCGCTCAAAACACCCTAGATGTTTCTTGCAAAGATGGGAGATGTAAATAGTCCTCCAGGTTGTGTTTCATGATTCCTTTTCTTTCATGAATAGAGATATAAGCAGAAAACCAAAGAGAGACACCGGAGAAAAAGGATGCGTTAGCATTTTGCCAATTAGCAGGTGTAGCAGAAGAAACCTCATTCTTGGTCTCTTTAAGACGTGCTGTCATACGCCAGCGGAGCAGAAGAGGGCGCTCCAGCTAGCTCCTCCCTTCCCCGCTGTTGGCCCTGCTAGGTGGGATTCCCACCGGGTACAATTGCTGCGATCCGGTGTACACAAAATAAAAACCGACTTTCACTTTCTCTCCGTACAAGTACAAAAACCGGCCTGGCTTTTGACTACAGAGCAACTCTTTTTCCTCCTCAGCAGAATTCAAGAGCTATGCTCGCCTCGGAAGTCAACCTGCAAATCAACAAAAACCGTTCAAGAGCAAAAGCCCAACAAAATTGCAACCCACATTTATGCAAACAGGACCAGTTTAGCGAGTCTCTCCTTGCTCCAAATACACACAGCCTTACCTGAGGGACACTGTCCATCATGCAACACAGAAACAATGAACAACGCACACAGGCCAAGGTACAAAAAGCGGAGGAAGTCAGAAGTGAAAGAAAGCAACACCACAAACTTGTCAGGTCCTTACCTTGAACAATATATCTTTTCCCAGACTGTGAAAACTAACTGCAAGGATTCTTGTTCTCCCATAACTTTCTCAACAAAATGAAAGAGAAAAAAAGTGGAGACTATGCTTAACATGGTAACTCCATACCCTGTAAAGTCTAGATGTCACAGTCCCCACCACCACCACTGAGATGTCATGACTCTCACAAGCTCTACCAGTGAGATGGATTACGCTTGTCACTGACAAAGTGGCAGCTGCAGGGAGGACTTTCAAATCAAAACCACAGAAATCACTAGCAAAAAGGAGTAATTATTCCTGTTTGCCCACTCTTAACAAGCAATCGTTCTACCACTAAATACTTTCTTTTGTTGAAAGGGAAGCAAAAACAAATGCAGAGCCAAAGGTTTTTTGTTTTGTTTTTTAAAAATAGTCACTAAAATCCTAACAACTAGTTAACACAAGAGAAACACCCCTACTGTGTAAATATCAACTAAAAAAATAGGAAAAGTCCGGGTCTAAAACTTCACTTACAGATTTGTTGTCATCAAAGGCATGTTCTTCTATTTCCTCTTCCAATCTATCAGCTGCCTTCCTGACATCTTCTAGAATTTCATCAAGCATTGACAGGCTTTTGTTTTGATGCTGCATGTTCTTAAGGGCTTCAACCTGATGTTTTTCTGCTGCTAGGAGTTCGACGTATTCCATTTCTTCCTGTTGAATTTTACAACACACAGATAAAGCGCTGGCCAGGCCTTTGAGCAGAAGAACATTTGGCATAAGCGTACGTTTCTTTTGACACAAACCATCTTACGAGCGGAATTGCAAAAGCAATATAGGCTTTACAATGGTATTTGAAGATTGCTTTCTCTTATGCCAATTTTCGCTGGGGGAAGCGGGCAAGAAAAACAACCACCAAACAAAATATCCACCAATCGCCTTTTCTAATCCATTAAACAGTAGAGCTGCCCCAGGGTTACGATCCAGAAAATACAAGAAAGGAATTACTTTGAGGAACTCTAGAAAACATTTCAGAGTCAAATAAAGTTTGGAGCTCAGTGCTTTAGCAGGGAAGCATAACAACCTTGAAAGCATAGCCTTACTGGATAAAAACAAACAAACAGATGAGAAGGAAAATACAATGAATCTTATAAGCCGTTTTATAAACGTGGGAAGAGGTCTGTTTATGGTTTTCAAAAGTTACAATAACCATGGAAATAGCTACAAAAAAATAAAAGCAGTTGGGAGAGAGTACAGATGAGCAGTCAAGCACTTTAGCTGAGGCTCCTGCTTATGTTTCCCAAGAAGCATTTTTCCTGTCAGAAGTAAAATACTTGACTTCGTCCATCTTTTCGGTTTGGGCCTCTTATGAACTTGCACTAATGACTTCTGAAATCCATTTCTAGGCTTCAGAAGTAAGAAAAGAAAAAAATGCTAATGTGGTTTGATATGGTGTAAAAATATTTCAGTAGCTTCCCTGATAAAGTGATGATGTTTCATTTCTCTTTGGATGTTTCAGGTTCAAAAAGAGAACTTAAAAACTTTCATTTACGGATCAAGACTGGACTTAACACTGTGCCTTCTACATGGTTACGAAGACAATAACCAAACATAATACTTTGTGTATTGACAGAGTACGATTTGAGGGGTTTGGGGAAAAAAATGTTTTGCTTTACAAGCCTACATTCTTTTAAAGATGCACTGATTGAGAGAGAGGACAACTATGAATGAGGAAACATAGGCAATGGCAGGCTTCTTCCTGTCAGTTAGATCCGGGATGCTGAGAACATTTAGATGACAGAGAGCCTGCACCTGTTCTTTAAGAGAGCCAATATTATTACCAAGGGAAAAAATAGATCAGGCAAAAAATACAAGCAATCTCTAGGTCCAACTGAATTCCCAGAAAACACAGGTTTCTGTCTCCATTTTAGATGCCCTGCCATACCCAGTCAGAAATCAGATAAAACATAGGTCTCCCTTAGGTTGTGTGTTTTATCTCCCCCACATAGGTATCTTAGATAACCTGGGCATCTAAAATGGTCCTAAACTCCTATGTTTAAATAATTGGAGTGTTCCCTCCTCCACACATGTTTGCATATGGCTATTTTCTCCCTTGAAACCTGCAAGAACACGCATATAATTTCATCAATTCCTTGATGCCAAGACAAGAGTATGTTCAGTACAGCCTGTAACTGTAGCTTAACCACTTTAAAATCCTGAGTGTCAGATGAATACCTCTAATTGTGATGAAACCACAGAACTGCTGTCTGTTGGTGTTTAGAATTTTTGTACTTACACCGGCATGATGAAAATTACCTAGTTCCCAAAATAGCTGGGGTTGGGAAAAACGTAACTACTAATGTGTTTGACCCAATGCTTTAGTTCTTATGCAACACATAAGCAAGAGACACAGTGACTCTCATACAGCCCCAAGGAAAAACATTTCCTATCTGTTGTTCTCTGCTAGCAGACATTGCTCAAAAGATGTAAAAAACAGCCCCTGTATGAGCTGCAGATTCTTTCCTCAGTCAGCAACAACTTAGAATGCAACATGGAATTAATAAGGGTTAGATTCTTTCCTCTCACAAATGGAAATAGGTTTTGGGTGGAGGGAGCCGATCAATCCTTTCTGTCGGCTGAGACAAAACAGGCTAAACAGAGCTAGAGGTAAACCGCAGAAAAAACCAAACAACACTCTAATTTGCCAGAAGTTAACTTTCTCTGAATAGCAAGGTAGAAGAGCTTCGAAAAATCCAAGTTTAACTGTAAGTTCATTTTATTAATGAAGACAAAGGTTTTTGTAGTCTATTAAAGTGGCATCTCTGTTTTTACCTACAGACCCGTGTCAGGGCAGTAAAGTGGGACAATCAATCACAGAGAACGGTGCCCCTGAAAAGCACAAAACAGCTCGCTACGCGTTAAGCAGAAGTGCATCACAGTACAAACACTGTTCCGCAACTCATGCTGGGATTGGAGACGTCCGATTACAAGGTACATACCAAACAATCTTCTAAGCAAGATAATACAGATAAGGATTGTGTACTAAAGAGGAGACTGGCACACCTAGAAACACATGAGCAAAATGAAGTAAGCTTAAGTAAGACTTTGGGGCAATGCTGGTTAAGAAGGCAGTGTTGCTGTTGCTCTCTACTGTTTAATCAGGGATGACAAAAGCACATTCATCAGAGGACGCGTCTCTGCGCTACTTGCGAGTTATTTTTTCTATCAATGTCTGAGTAGCAGGCACCCAAGAAATTAGAAGCTGATAAAAAGTAGGTAAGATTTTGTTGCCTTTTCCTGATCCTCCGCACAGGTTCCTGGAGCAAAGGAAGACAGAAGCTATCTTCAGCACTTTTTCCTTCCTCCCCCCTGCGACCATGAATGATTCTGCTATACCTTTTCCCAGCAGCAAAACCAGCAAGAAATGCATCAGACATCCATATCTATCCCAACACTAAAGACTTCCAAATACTTCAACTCAACAGAAAAAAAATGAAGAGCCCAGCACCCCCTACAGTCGTTTATATTTTCCATTCAGTCACTGTTTAAAAGATGGAAAGGATGTCTCACAAGTACACTAACAAAGTAATCATTACAGTAAAATGAAACGGGAACAAAACTGGACCTAAAGTATGTCTTCTGAAGTAAGGACAAGGCCAAAAAAAAAAAAGTATAAATGTATCCCATGTAATTTTCATCTTTTTGGCATGCATTTCCCCACCATCCTTTGTTTAACTTGTATAACAATCATAAGGTTAGAACAACAAATATTCTGTTTAAATAGTCATGCGCATGACATAAGAAGGAAGGGCGTAAAAGATTGCTCATTCAAGTAAATATCTTGATATGATAATGCAAAAAAGCCTACACAATCCATGTCTGCAGAAGTAAAGTTTTCACAGGACACACATCATTATACACACAAGTCTCCTTTTATGAGAAAAATGAGGAAGCACCATTCTCAAGTTCAAGGATAGATTACTTCAGTATTTTACAGGAATGTTGTCAAGCATTAGATAAATGACAAAGAAGATTCTGGACAGCTTCACTGCTGCTATTTTAAGAGCTTTGAGAAAAAAAAAAAAAGGTGGAAAATGAAGTCATTTTCACGACAATTGCTACCATTCCTGTGCAGGAGAGGCTGGCACTACCGTTAAGCACCAATATCAAAGTCACATCAGTGCAGGAGAGGCTGGCACTACCGTTAAGCGCCAATATCAAAGTCACATCGAGCACTTCATTGGAACATACCTAGATCCAAGCTACTCTCTATTCAAATTTGTTGTAATTCAGTCTTCACTTTCATTACACAGACCACTCCAGTCTCCTGAGTCCTCATCCTAACTTCCACGTGCCTTTCTTGCCATGATTCACTGCAGACCTTTCTTGCGCACAATCTCTTGCCGTCTTCACCTGTTACGATCTGTGCATCTCTTACACAAATGCCCTTTACAGAGTCTCCCAGCTCAGATGCTATATCCCAATTACATTTTTTCCTCCTCTTGCTCCCTTGTGCAAAGGCAGTCTCTTCTTTTAGAAGACAGAACGCAAAGAGAACTCTTCATATATTTCTCCAGTGGTTGAGGGGTAGGGCAGGGGAAAGAGCAATTTAAATACCAAATCAATTAAATGACATTTTCTCTCAATGGGAGACTTTCAGTATACAGTCTGAGAACTACCAAGTCCAGTAGACAGTGGCAGATTGTGCACACCCTAACAGGTCTGCATTGACATGGGAACTCGAATTTTCCATGAAGTATTTGTGTTCAACTGTTACTCATCTGTGCTTTTCTTGGTAAAGTTATCTCAGCTGGCTCTTTCTTGGAAGCACGGTTTTTCAAACCTGCACTTCTTAGGCTAGAAGTGCTATCTATACTAAGATTAAAAATCTAGTCGTTTCCTATTTTGCATGTCCGTTTTACCCACATCTATACGAATATGGCAGTAAAAGGCAAGAAGTCATTCTGTTTAAATTGTAGATTTTGGTCAAGCAATTGTCACTTAAAGTGGAAAAAACAGTTAGTATTTTGCCAATTTAAGGCATTTTTTTCCACTCTCACAATCCCACTGGCTTGTCTAGTGGAACTGTGCTATGTGCACTGACTCATTTCTTGTATTCCTTTCCCTTTAACATAGTATTTGCCATAGGTCTTATGATTGTGCTTAGCTTTGTTTTGAAATAAGAACTATTGACTGCTAGTAAGTTTTAAGCTCCACACTGGAATTACTTCTAATTTTACTAACAAGAACAAATACTTCATTCAAAATCCATTTTAAACAGTAAACATTGCAAGTTTTATGCAGATTCCCATTTTTATTAAAACAGACTGAAACCATGCCATAATAAAATTAAAATTGCAAGTAGAATGTTAACACTCTGGTAATAAACATGGGGGGAACTAACCTTAATTGCAGCTTCTCTCAAGGCTTCCAGCCTCTGCCTACTGCTTTCTTTCATATTTACAACATCTTTGTAGTCACCCTGTAGAGCTCTCTGGAGGCCATGGATCGCTTGAAAGACCGAGTTTTCACTTTCATTTAGCTCTTTTTGGAAAATTTCGAAGGTATGCACCTGAAAAAGTTTCTCTTCATCTGACAGTCCTGCGTCCTTCTCAACTGCTCTTATAGCATTTTTTAGTTTGTTGAGAACAACGTTCTTTTGGCGCAGAAGACCCGATAGCTTTCTGCAGCTCTCCAACACCCACTGCTTTCTTTGGGCGATAACAGCTCCTTTCCCTCGGTGCAGCTTTATTGCATGCTTTACTACATCTTCATGTTCCGCAGGATTTGCTAACTGGCCACAAGGCAGTGAAACCAACGTCCATAGGGAAATAAATCCAGTCGCCTTCATTCTTCACTTTTTATTGCTGTTCGGAGAAACTGATAATCCACAACTGCTCAAAGCTTTCTGCTACACGGCTTCTGCATCTCCAGTACGGATACCAGGCTGCAAGATAGTACCAATCAGTTATCAAACATGGTAACGTTGGGCCATTATGTCAAACAAATGTAGAAAACAAACCTAAGAATGAAAAAAAAGCTTAACTGAAACAGATTACAGTATAAATCATATTTGTGAAAGAAACATTTCTACAGTCAAGAAATAACAGCAGAAATAACTTCCTGGACTTCTGAGCACTAGTAGTTTGGATCAAAGACCTTCACCTGAAAGGCTGCGTGCCCTTGAGGAATTTCACTTCAAAGCTAATTATTGATCCTCATTATTTTAAAATAGAGTTATAAGAACACTAAAAGTGAAATCAATTCATTCGTAAGTTCATTTCCCAGAAACTATTTGAAGATCTATATTTAAACTGCTGTATTTGCTTTTAACACCAACCAGGATAGAATTTCAAACTAAGAACAAATTTCCTTCCCCCAGATCCTACAGGAAAATACTGACATTATTGTAAAATAACAAAGTTACATTTTCTTTAAAGAAAAACCAAACAAACCCCAAAACCTACACACCACAAAGCTATACATAGCAACGTATAAATGTATGTACAATGCATACATTTATCACTGAAGCATGGCATTCTAAAAACGCACAACACTCACTACATCTTAGTAGATCATCAAAAGAACATGTATTTGCTTAAAACTTTAGCTGCAATCTTGATCTCTGGGCCAACAGCCTTAATCAGGAACCAACATACAGACACAGTCATCTGGAAGCAGTCTCCCTAAAACAGAATCTTCTTTTCCTACAATGCAGTAGCAGTTGCAACCACAAGTATCCAGGCCGGCCATCGTCAATACATAGAATGGGAAGGGAAGATGGCAAGCACAGCCATGCACCACCTTCATTTTTAAAATGCCCTCCCACCTCTGTTTCAGAGAGAACTGAGAAAACCTGTCTGTGGGTTGGTTTATTTCTTTTCAATGCATGAAATGCAAGGCAAAGTATTTAGCTATCAATAGTTGACTATGGACTAGGGTTTAACAACATGAAGAGCTAAAACATTTAAAATTAAGAACTGAAAATGTCATTAAAGTAGCAAAAGCATATCTACATCACTCTAATTTCAAGAAAATAATACAGTAGAGATATTTCAGAACTTTGATAAAGCTATGGGATTTACTATTTTTAAGTGAGCAGGAAAAAATAACAATTCCCACCACCTGGCAAAATTCTAGAGTGATATTTAAGGAAGTATTTCTCTGTGTACTATCACTGTTTAAGGCTGCCAAACCAGGACATGTATACAAAATAACCCTCTTCCTGTTTAACATGTTTGGGGGAGAGATTTTGCTGAATGTATTACAGCCTATTCCTGCAAGAAAGGGGGAGAAGAAAACACCTAGTGTGTATTCAAGCTTCTGTTGGCAGGGAGGTGAGTAAAAGACTCCACTGCACATCCTACGTGGTATGTCAAACCATGTAACTAAATTCTGAGCGGAGATTTGTACTAGTAAGTTTGCCCACTGTTGCACCGTGTAAACTTACAACCGTGGCTCAGACACAGTGCAGTTTTGTTTCAGTAAGTGTTTTTTACTCGGCTAGCGAAAACTGTTTAGAAAAGTGACTCCTGGGGCAGTGCTCAAAAGCTCTTAAGGGAATAATGACCTCGCATATAAAAATACATGATGTGCTTCAGACTGCAAATAAAAAGAGGAGAAAAAAACCCAAACCACTCCTCTCCATGCGCCAATAAGTATCAAATTAGAGGGAACTCCTGTCCTTTGGAGCCCTTATTAAGCACAGTTTGTTTTCTGATGGATTGCAGCGTATCGTCCCGGGTTTTCCTTCCTGAACGCGATGCTGTAGTACTTGATTTCATCAAGCCGATGTCAGGCTCTGCCTCCAACGCAAGCCC